CTTTTGGGCCGCACGAGTATACTGAAAATGTATAACGTGGTTTATCAGTACGTCGGACATATCAGTACCTCGGACACTTTTCATTGGCATTCTACTTTGAATATCAATAAATCAACCATAACATATTAAATTAACTATAACTAAGCGGAATCAGATGAACTAGACATATCTATAGCTTCTTGACAAGTTCGCGCATTATGACCAGCTTTTCCACAGATCCCACAGCATCGCCTAGACGGTTGCCCCTCCTTGCGACTACCCCCAACTGCACGTACGTCGCATCGTACCTGCTCATCCACATCCTTCTGTGCGATAATAGCCTGTGCATCCTCTACTATAAGTGCACCTCCTTCACGGACACGAGCCTTTTTAGCCCTGCGGCGTTTGCTAAGGGCTTCGTTGGCTGCTCGAAGGGTACGTACCTCAGCAGACAGAAGGGTGTTCTCATGTGCTAGTCGCTCCGTACCCTTTGCCAATGCAATAACTGTCCCGAAGAGTGGAGTTGGCGAGCTTCCTTGGTGACGGGCAATTCGATTTCGAACGAGGGTTGTTTGTGAAAGAGCTTCAGTTGGGTTGGAAGGGGTCTGGGAGACCCAAGGGTTGGTGTTGGCAGTAGAGGGTCTAGAGGGAGTTGGAGTCCGTAACCTCACGTCAAGCTTTGAAAGCACTGCTTGCGGGTCGAAAGGCACTAAGCCAGCTCCGCGGAACCCGGACTGGGCGTTTTGGGCTGTCATGGATTCCAGATATGCTGCTCTAAAGGCGAGAAAGAACTCGACCTTGGTAATGTGGTTGATATGAGCCTTAATGAAGGTCTCAATCTGCCGACCATATGCCCGCTTCAACACACTAAAGCACCCGACATCAAGTGGCTGAGTTAAATGAGACGAGTGGGGAGGTAGTCCAAGAGTTATAATGTTGTGTGCCTTGCAGTACTCTTGGAACTCGGCCGATTCATGACTCTCGTGCCCGTCTAACACCAGCATTCGATATGGACCCCTTGCACGAACAGCAGTATGTTTGTCGAAGTGTTTCAACCATTCTAGACCCGTCTCATTGTTTGTCCATCCATTGCTTGTCGGTTTAACAACCCAGTTGTGTGGAAGGCCGCCGTCTGTATACCAATTTGCAAGATGATTCTTGCCTTTAACTACCAAAAATGGAGGAATACTCCAGCCGTCACTGTTGATACAAGTGTTACGACGGAACAAGAAGGCTGGCCAACTACAGGACAGGAAGGAGGGAGGTCGCATGAGACCGGCCCTGGTACCTGGAGGGGCAGCGGGGAATAGTAGTTCCGAAAGTATCACGTGACGGACTCGCAGGATGATGAGAAGAGTCCTAAGAGTCCAGGACTCTGAGGACTCGAGTGAGTTCCCAGGAGTCCACTAGGCACGTGACGGACTCGCAGGATGATGAGAAGAATCCTAAGAGTCCAGGACTCCGAGGACTCGAGTAAGTTCCCAGGAGTCCACTAGGCACGACGCCACTATATAAGTAGATAGTTAGTTCTTAGATAGGAGCTTCGTGCTCAACTCAATACAGTATTTGTTATATACTAGTAACGTGTTACTTGAAGCCTTTGTGTCCGATCCCCTGCCTCCTCTGATAAGTAAACCTTTACGCAAGAGAACCTCTGTGTCTTCTATCGTTTAGAAGTCAGCGTTACAACAAGCAATCGCTGTAGCCCATTCCCGATTCCCTGGCTGAACTGCCTTACCTCTGCCAAGTCGATCTGCACGGGTAACAACCATTGCAGGGCAAATCACACCCATCATAAACCCAGTTTCGTCAAAGTTATAGAAGTCGCAGTCCAAAACACCATATTTTGCCCTCATATTTTCCACTAGTCGAAACCACGCGCCAATTAGTTCAGGATCTTCGCACAAGGCCCTTTGGAAGTCGTAAACGCGATTAAAACGCGTCTTTAATTCTGGACGTCGTTGTACAAATCGGTGGGCCCAGAGCTTCCCGACGCGCCTCCCTCCATGCGATTCGAGTATAAAATTTGCCATATCTTCTACACCAGCAAGCCGGGGTGCAAATCCTCTTGAATCCATATCAAGTATATTCCGAATAACCACCTCCTCTTCTAGTATAGTTAATTTCATCATTGCAGGCCGGCGTTCGTAGACAGTAGTTCGGCCGTTCATTCTGTCGCAGAGTGTAGAATGAGGTACTTCATAGAGCTTAGCAGCCTTCCGACGACTTAGATTTTTTGATGTTCGGATAGCCTCGATAGCTAGAATGATTTTTGCTTCTTGGGTAATCACTGACATAATAAAAGGTGGAAAAAACGCGTTGTGAAGTTAGAGGGTAGGAAATTCGGGAAAAGTGTCCGAGGTACTGATATGTCCGACGTACTGATAAACCACGTTATACTGAAAATGTATATACTGAAAATGTATATCAGGCCGATCTCTGAGCTAGGAGGGAATGGAACAGCATACGAATAAATGTCTTAAACGACACTGGCTCGGATACGATGCCAGTATTCAAACACAGACTTGCTTCAACCAGTGCTCTTCGGATTACCAGCTTCCGTCAGATTCTGCTGATGTCACCCTTCCATTCCTTACACGCCTTCTCACCACCGCCCGCTCTCACCATCGCTAATATGCTGCCCCTGCCGCGATAGTAAGCCGCACTGGCCTGACGTCGCTGAATAGGACTCGAGATCCATCCCACACTGGCAACGACCCCCCTCTCCTCCGAGTACCATCTTTCTTCCTGTGCCTCTTCAGGCGCTGCTGTTGTGGCGTGCCGCAAAAGAGAATTTGGTACTCACATAAATATTGATAACCACTTTGAATACTGTATGTAAATTGCTCTCGTACATTCAGTATAATACGGAGAGATTCCACACCGTGGGAATATCCCGTAGGAATATATAACTCTGCCTTATTAGCACTTGAATTTGCTTTAAACTGCCAGGAAACTGTTCGACGTCTGGCGATTTGAAGTCTTTAGTAAAGCCCTAAAAGCAATGCAGTCAATACTCTACATATCACTGCATCAACTTTAGGAAACAGGAAGTAACTGCTGTAAATAACTCATTTGTAAATATCTTGTATCCAGACAGACTACAACACTACATGTCTTCACCTAATCTTTTTACAACTTTACATCCTCGACTTAGTCGGGCCTGGCTCGACGTGCTTGACGCCGTACTTCTCGAAAAGCTTCGCCGACGTCTCCCTCTGCTTCGTGATCAACGCAGTAACCGCCGTATTCCTCTTGTTCTCGCTCTTGCCGAGCTGGGCGAGATGAACCTCATCAGGTCCATCAGCCAACTTCAGCGTACGGATACCAGCCCACGAGTTCGCAAGCGGGGTATCTTGGCACACACCAGCAGCACCAAACGACTGCACGGCACGGTCAATGACCGCAAGTGCCATGTTGGGCACGAGGACCTTAGCCTCGGCAATCTCGCGCAGCGCAGACTTGGCTCCGCCGGCATCGATCTGGATGGCAGCGTTGAGGACAACGAGGCGAGCAGCATCGATTTCGATACGGCTGCGAGCGACCCACTCGATGATCACGCCGTGCTCCTTAAGCTGCTTGCCGAATGGGGTCTTCTTTGGGTCGTTGATGCGCATCAACATCCAGTCGAGCGCGTTCTCGGCGGCGCCGATGCTGCGCATGGCGTGGTGGATACGTCCTGGGCCGAGACGGCCTTGGATGATCTCGAATCCGCGGCCGGGGCCGAGGACGATCTGGGAGACGGGGACGCGCACGTTCTCGAAGCTGATGTGCGCGTGGCCGTGGGGGGCGTCGTCGTAACCGTACACGGAGAGCATGCGGTGGATGGTGATGCCCTTGGTGGAGGCGGGGACGAGGATCACGGATTGTTGGCGGTATTTGTCCTTGTTGTTGGGGTCGGACTTGGCCATGACGATGTATACCTGGCAGCGAGGGTCACCGGCACCGGAAGACCACCATTTCTATCGGGGGTTAGTTAAGCTGGATTGGTTGTTGATTGGGGATGGAAACATACTGAGCCGTTAAGGACGTAGTGGTCTCCATCTCTCTCCATCTTCATCTCGATGTTGGTAGCATCCGAAGAGGCAATAGCTGGCTCGGTCATCAGGAAAGCAGAACGGATCTTGCCATCCATTAATGGAGCCAACCACTCCTTCTTCTGGGCGTCGTTTCCGTACTTAGCCAGAACCTCCATGTTACCGGTATCTGGGGCAGCGCAGTTACAGGCCTCAGACGCGGTTCTCGAGCGGCCGAGCCACTCAGCCATCAAGCCATACTCGAGGTTGGTGAAGCCGGGAGACTCCTTGTAGTGGCCCTTCGCGAGGAACATGTTCCAGAGCCCGAGTTCGCGGGCTTCAGCCTTGAGGTCATCGATAATCTTGGGGTATGAGTCCTGGACCGTGAGTTAGCTGGTTGTACACTGAGGTGGCTTCTGTCAATGGACGTACCCAACGAGTCTCGCCGACTGGGATCTGAGCGTGGAAGACGGCATCGACTGGAATACACCTCTCCTCGACGAACTTCCTGACGAGGTCACTGTGGTTATCACTGCGTTAGCTGTTGTTCATAGGCACATACTCTCGGCATGGATAGATTGCCGAGTACTGGATCGTTGTCGTCACTTACAGGGTCTTCTTCGCCCTCTCGCTGACGAACGGCTGTGCGATAATTGGGATTCTGGACGACATATTTGCTGGGTAGAATAATTTGATATATAGAGAAGAGGGAGACACTAGACAATGAGCGGCAGGGCAGTTGATGTTTATAATGGGATACAATAGCGTAGCTTACCCCATTTTGTCACCCCACAATCCCCACCCCCTCGGCCAAGGTTGCAACCTTGGTACCGCGGAGCCGAGGCTCACTTAGCTTCGGGTTGACCGAAATAGACGACACTTCCTCGATTTTACACAACAATCGATCAAAAGTATCTACAATTTTTATTGTTATTGCATTTCTAGCAGCATATAGAAGTGTATACTACTGCGAAAGAGCATCAAAAATCAAATTGTAAATTCAACGCTCGGTAATGCAGATTTTAAATCCCTTTTGAAACGCCGTTCGAATGCTCCCCCTCTCTTTACTCCCCACCCGTCCAGACCGTCATAAAGCAGTCCAGTGTAATACACTGGATCCAACTAATAACCACTCGAGCAAAGCATACCCCTCATGGATCTATATGGCCCCATCATTGAAATAGTCTGCTCTACGCTTGCCATTCCCCTGTACCCCTCCTTTGAAGTGTTTCTTACTGGTCAATAACTTGGCATCTTTTGGATCAACATCCTTCTCCAAGGCTGCCATGGTCCGTTGCTTCCGCCCACTGAGTAGTTTTCCAGAAGCGGTGCCCTGTTCAGTATACTTGTGTGCGAAAGGCATTCTGAGATGCGCATTGTTTCCTTGACCTTGACCGAAGAAGGCGCCATCCATCTTCGTTGTCTTTGGTCCCGTCTCGTATCCCGACAGCGTCGAGTCAGCGAGCGATTGCATATCATCGTGATCATCAGAGCTCATTGCATGGAGAGCGTTTCTGCGTTTCTCTGGAAGATTCCCATCGTCGTAAAGCTCGCGGTTGAAGTCGTATGGATCAATATCGCCTGGCGGTGGCATACAGAAGAGAATCTTGCCACTGACATAGTCCTTGAGGACATATCTCGCAGCTCTTGACTCATCGGGCTGGCCTTGACCAGTTCTTGTGAAACCTCTCGCCTTTGCATAAGCCATGAGCATTTCCTCCGCCGTAGGAATGCCAGTTCCGCCTTCTTCGAGCGGCCGCGTTTCAATCTTGATTCCATAGAGCGCCTCCAAGAAGTGCTGAGGGATCCTCTTCGTCACAAGGCCAGCAGGGCCAGTGAACTCACGTAGTTGATCAATAGGCAGGATGCCGTTACAGACAAGTTCTGCCTTGGTAGTCGCAAAGTTAGGGAAAACCAATCCGGGGCAATCGCAAAGAATGACTTTCTCAGAGAGATGGATGGTCTGGAAATGCTTTGTCTTTCCGGGAGTCGCGGAGACAGACACCTTTTTTGCACCGATGAGGGCGTTGATAGTCGAAGATTTTCCCACGTTAGGGTATCCGACAAGTCCAATCTGTGTCTTTCTTGACTCGTCTGTTGAATCACCTGTATTGAGTTAGCACGATCAGGTCTATTGACTCCAAATATTTGACTCACCTGTAGAGGCTGGAAGATGGCGCAGGAAAAGTTCCTCTAGCTCCTCCGTAGTAAGGATATGAGTCCGCACGTCATCATCCTTTTCGCTGTACTCTTCGTCCCTTAAGCTCAACCCCTTTGCTTTGTTCCTCAGCCCAGCTTCCTCCTCATCCTCGAATTCAGATTCGGATCCCTCTTCCTCCTCCAATCTAGCCTCATTGATCTCCTTAGCGAGGTGGGCAGAGAAGAACTTGTATGCAATCCCAGCTGATTCAAAGTGGTCGGCCCACGCCTGTCTCTGCGCCAGTGTCATCATGTCAGCCTTGTTGACTAGCAGCAAGTTCTCCTTCTTTGGGTCGACATCCTTGACATATCTTTCTAAGTCGATAGATCGGAATAGCAAAGGGTTTCTTGCATCCACAATCTGAACGATCAAGTCCGAACGCTCAATAACTCTCCACAATTGTCTCCAAACCTCCAAGTTGCGTTCGAAAGGTGTAAGGAGCAAATCGTTGTGCTCTTGTAGCTCTGCAAGCCCGCGTCTCCACTCTAAAAGGGCCTCCCTCTCCGCACGATCCAGTTGTTCCGCCGTCGTCGAGGCATCCCAATGTGGTCGTCTAGGCACTGTCAACTTGTCGGAGTGCTCCTTTTGCTTTCCAACAGCGGCTCTCTCCTCTGCTGCGGACAGCAAGTATGGGTTCTTCTGGTCGGTGTGGATAATTTTAACGTTGCTCATCTTCTCCGCTGTGAAATCGGTTCCAGCGAGTTCTGCTGTCGATAAGAACTCGTCCAGGGCAGCTTGTTCGGTAACAGAGCGCATCTTGACCCAACTGGCCTCCTTTCTCTCGTTGGTGACATATGTCTCTCCTGTTGCATGGTTGATTCTGTGAATTCCTGCGGAAGTGACTTTCTTTCTGTCTGCTCCCTTGCCTTTTCCGAAACGGTCGTTCATCAGACTGTTTCCGAGGCCGACAGCCTTCTTCGACTTAGCCAGCACCATATTGACGTAGGCTCTGTATATTTATTCCTATTTGTTGTGGTTTATTTATGTCGTGAGGAGGGGTATGATGTATTAACGAGGTTTTGCAGGTATTGATAAGGCGGGGTGGCAAAAGTTTATCGATGCCCAATTTTCTCCCCGCAGTACTAAATTTCGAGATCACCTAAAACTTTCTCTACCAAGACCTCTTGGAACAGATGCGCTGAGTAGTCCACATATAAACCTCACTCCGCCACGATTTTCAGAAGAGTCACACAAAATGGGTCGCCGAGGTTGGATGTAAGTATCGGCGGCCTCAAATGAAGCCTGACGCACTAACACGTTACCAGCGATAAGAAGTCGGCACAGCACTTTACGCTTGTCCACAGGCCGCAAAATGACCCTCTCATTCACGATGAAACCGTTTCCTCTATGATCTTGAACCCTACGGAGGTCGCAAACTCGAATAAGATCAAGAAGCTTGACGATTTAACCTCGGAATTTGGCAGCGATGGCGGAAGGATACGAGCCAACGAAGGCGAGGCTGCCAACCATGGGATTTACTACGATGACACCGAATATGACTACATGCAACATATGCGCGACATCGGGAGTGGAGGAGCTGAGACACATTTTGTTGAGGCGCCGAGTTTGCAGAAAGCTAAGAGCAAAGGGAAGGAAAAGCTTTCGTTGGAGGATGCCCTAAGAAGCTCTAGCCTTGACGACAAGTCGGAGATTGTCCTGGACGAGGAGATATTACCGTCGAAGAATCTACGGAAGGTCACATATCAAGCACAGCAGGAAGTCCCCGATGCGCTGGCAGGATTCCAACCAGATATGGACCCGAGGTTAAGGGAGGTTCTGGAAGCGTTAGAAGACGATGCATACGTTGACGAAGACGACGAGATATTCGGACAACTTGCGAAAGATGGAGAGGAGCTTGATGATCACACTTTTGAGAACGAGGCCTGGGATGAGGATGAAGAAGGATGGGAGTCGGATGCCACAGCGAAGCCGTCAAAGGAATATAAAGATGCGCCAGTTGCGCCCGATCATGTGGGAGATGATGACCGGGAGGACCACGGAGACGGAGACTGGATGGCGGAGTTTAGCAAGTTCAAGAAGGACGGCAAGAAACAGGTTGCTTTTGCCATGCCTGGACAGTCGGATATTCAGTCGTCTATGATGACTACAACTACGAATGGTGGGAGGAGGAAGAAGAGGAAGGGCGCTCTGACCAACCCGTCACAGTACTCGATGACTTCCTCGTCGGTTTTCCGTACCGAGGGGTTGACAGATTTGGACTCGAGATTCGAGAAACTTGAGGAACGATACAATGAAGACAATGGCGACGACGATTTCGGATCGATGGCTTCGTCGGTATCGAGTGTAACTGGCCCTGTTAGAGGAGACTTCGATGGTATTATGGATGAATTCTTGGGAGCCTACACCGTCACGAAAAAGAAGCACGTGAAGAAGATGGGATATCAAAGCGGAATGGAGCAATTAGATGAGGTGAGGAAGGGTTTGGGAAAAGCGATCATTAGACCTTCCTTTGTTTAGAGTTTAATATACCAAGACCTTTAAGGTGGTTTCTTCAATCTACTTGACTGTGCCATTAATAAGGTTGAGCATTGCAGACCAGAAGTAAATTATTATTATTTTATAAGTTACCACATCATTTATTTCACTTCCGCATACTTGTCCAGCGCATCATGCAACTGACCAAACACGCCCCCATGCCAGCCTCTCAGCTCCTCCCACTCACTCGCTGGCAACGTCACACGAGCCATTCTTAACCACCCACCAACGATAATATCCGCATAGCTAGCCTTCTGTCCCAGCAGAAACGGTCCAGTCGTATCTCTCACGAACAACTTGGCCAGACCCCCCAGCGTTTTCTCAAAAGACTTCTTCATCGTCTCTCGCATCTCACCAACCATTTTAAAATCTTCCCACGACCTAACACCAGCACGGTTGACAAATTCCGCTTTGGTTATATTAGCGGTTGCAGGATCCAGAGGAAGTCCGTAGGCCATGAGGCCGACATGTGCGGTGAACGCCGCGTCAATGTTCTGGTTGAAGCGCGCGTAGTCGACAAGGTCTGTCCCACGAATCTCCGACAGTGGTATGAGCAGTGTGAGACTATGGTCAACAACATAGTCCAGTTTCTGAGCAGGGAAGAGGTCACCGGCACCAGAGTCAGGGTACGTTTGCTGTAGGTAGACGGCGATGTCGAAGGAGTCGCCCTTGAAGGTGTTGGTCGCGGGGTCGTGGATGATGGGAAGGGTGTTGAAGTCGGAGCCGTCAGCGAATTTGCGACAGGCTGGGACATTGAGACCGCTGCGGACCTTGCTGATATCTGGCATCCTCACCCATGACGTCGTATAGGGAACGCCCTTGAAGTTCAGTGCCAGCCTGGATTTCCAGGGATTTACGGCGCAGCATGTCTCCGTGACTGGGGGCCGCTGGGCGATGTCGTAAAAGACAATTGGGTTAGAGGTTGTCGCCATTGTAAATGTATAGTTTTGAGATGGTTTTAACTTAAACCAACAAGGCGAAAGGAGGGGAACTGTCCTTGGCCTTCGTCTAACGCTATCCCCACTCTAAAGCCCTATTTGAGATGTGATACAAACTAATGACGTTGCTCCGTGATATAAAAATGATAATACCTTAATAACTATGATAAACAATCCGCTTTGAGGGCCATAAGAGTCATAAATCGCACCTGAGTCATAATACTAGTATACCACGGACCATAATGTTTTGTGTTTAAGTGCAATCTGTTCGATTGAGTGGTTCTCATGCGTTGGCAAGAATTATATTCGGGTCGCTGTGCCAACGCCTAAGTGTATTTACGACATGGGCTTGTTCTCTTATCTCGGCCTCGAAAACCCCGATACCACTTGACAAAATTATAAATCCAAACCTCATCTCTGCTCACTTTCCGCAATCTTCAAAGCTCCCTTAAAACAATCAATACAGTTCAACTATCAATCAACACATACGCCGAGATGTCTTCCACTGTTCTCGGCGACAAGGATGTCAATGCGGCGCAGACAGTCCATGCAACTGAATCAAAGCCGGATATCAAGAGCATGGAGTACCATCGCCAGGTTCTCCAGTCGAGGCTTGAGGAGGACAAGTAAGTTCTTGCCCCTCATCCACAAAGAATGGTTGCTAACCTACAACGTAGGGGCAAGCCAACATACGTCTCTCCCAGCGACAACATCATGTCTCCCTGCACAGCTAAATTGAGCGCCTACCGCAACAAGCATGTCATGAAGTACGTGCATTTCCCATCAAATTCCAGCGAGCTCCACAAACAAAATACTAACAATCTGCAGGGCCAAGCCAAAGTCCCTCTTCGCAAAGGCATCCAGCAAGAACCTCGGCTCCGCAGACATGTTTGCCGACAAGCCCACAGAGCCCAAGGCCGACGTCGACATGCAGTAGGCAATAATAGCCCGCTACAAACAACGTACTTGGGATGAACGAACCACAGAAGAGACATCATAACTTCTTCTTGTACAAAAAAACGATATTCATGGCATAGGCAGGGCGGCGTCACACATCTTATTCAAGGCTTTTTTCATTGGTTACGCGATCGTCATCAGGGTCTTTTACGAATCATCATCAGCAATCGATACATTTCTTTGCCTTTGGGGGACTCCGCAAGGGGCTCCTTTGCAGGGCTGGCTTGGGCTATCGTGGGGAGTTGGTGTGGGGTAATTGGGTAGGGGCTTGGCCAACTGGATGGACAGGCAGACAGGTTTATGCAGACAGGGTTAGGAAGTGAATGGATCCCTTCTATAACAGTTCTTTCTTTCATTGTTTGTCATCTCGTGAACATAATGGTGATTCTTGCCTGTAGACATGGTTGCATACTTGACCGGACGAAGAACACCCCTCACAACTTCATACATCCCTTAGGCCTTGAAGCTGCTTATGATACTAACCACATCCTCATCCGCAACCAAATGGCTCAGCCCAACACGCTGCGGAATATGCCTCGCGCTCGCACCCCACACAAGCGCATACTTAAACGTATCCTTCAAACTCCTATGAATCTGATCACAAACATCCTCAATCGACGATTTCTGGCGCACAATCAGCGCCTCTGAGAAGTCCGGATCAATACCCTTGCGCTTAGTATAGATGCGCAGCAGACGCAGATCCTTCCAGCACCGGTCCACCACGTCCGTGATACCCATGTCGAGCTCGCAGGACATGACGACGGTCTGGGGCTCGCGGGCGAGCGAGTCGAGGAAGTCGAGGGAGACGGCGTCGATCTTGTTGTAGACGTAGAGGCAGTTGATGTAGGTGCGGTGGTCGGCGAGGATGACGTCGATGAAGTCGTCGACGGTGATGTTTTCGTCGCGGACGAGGACTTCGCAGTTGAGCATCTTGTAGTCGCGGAGGATGTTGTAGAGCATCTTCTCGTCCACTTTTTTGGGCGGCGAGGCGAAGGAGATTTTCATGCCACCTGCCTTCTTTAGCTTGAGGTAGATGTTGCTGAGATCTTGTTAGTCGTTGCGCGTAGGCGTGGTTAGAATTGTGAAAGGGAGCTTACGGCGGCGAACAGTTCAGTCTGATCCCAACCGCATATAATTCAGCCTCTAATAACTCTCTCTGTTCATGTTTCTTCGTCGCGTCCAAGATCATCAGAATCAGATCCGACGTCTTCGCAGCAGAAATAACCTGTCTTCCTCTTCCCTTGCCTTCGGAAGCGCCCTCAATGATACCGGGTAAATCGAGGATCTGGATTTCCGCACCGCCATACTCCAACACTCCGGGAATAGCCGTCAAGGTTGTGAAAGAGTATGCTGCCACTTCGGACTTCGTCTTTGTGATCTTGGATAAGAATGTAGACTTTCCGACGGAGGGGAAGCCAACGAGGGCAATGCGTGCATCGCCACTCTTTTGAACGTCGAATCCCGCACCACCTGGACCGCCAGCACCTGGTCCAGGCTCGAGAAGTTGAGCCCTAAGACGAGCAAGCTTTCTATTGATCATTAGTCAGACCCTTGCAAGAGAATTTGGCTTGAATTACCCCTTCAGTAAACCCAAATGATATTCTTGTTGATGATGTCAGCTGATACTCCAAAGTCTGTGGCCGGCATAGCTTTACCTGTGGCTTTATTTTCTGTGAAACATATTAGCGTTGCCTATAAGAATAGATAGAATTACATACTTTGGGTCTTTCTCATCTCCTCCTCGATACTGGCCATGAAGTCAGTTATGTTCAACCCCTCCCCCACCTCGATTCTCCGCCAAACACGTGACTTACTCCTTGATCTTATCCGTAATGTTCACCATGGTTGAAAACTACGGCTCTTTGCCGTAAGAACCAACCTGATAAAGTAACTTCTACCCTTTTGTTGGGGTTGTCGGGTTGTATTGCAAAGTTCTATTGATATATGTCGGCCTCGACATCTCTATCGACGTCACCGCCCTGGGCAGAATATCCCGAACGGGAATAGTGCACCGAAACGCCTCAGCCTTGTAGAATTAGAGGTCCAGACATCACCATCTCGCTCGAAGCGCGACAAAACATAAACCACCATAAACCACCACCACCGCCATCCAACCCCACAACCACCACAATGGCTGAAGTAGACCAAGCACCACCACCAGCCGAGCTGGCGCAACCCGAGAATGACTCCTCCGAGGAGCCCTCCACAACAGCCCTCACCACAACCACCACCGAAGTCGCCGCCCCCGCCGAACGCAAAGTCAAGAAGATCATCCGCAAAAAGCGCCGCCCCGCGCGCCCCCAAGTCGACCCTAGCACCATGACCTCCGAGCCCCCCCCCCAAACCGGCACCATCTTCAACATCTGGTACAACAAGTGGTCGGGCGGCGACCGCGAAGACAAGTACCTCTGCAAGACCCACGCCGCAGGCCGCTGCAACATCGCCCTCGACAGCGGCTACACCAAAGCCACTTCCGTCCCCGGCTCCTTCTTCTGCCTCTTCTTTGCGCGGGGGCTGTGCCCAAAGGGGCCAGAGTGCGCGTACCTCCATCGGCTACCGGGGATACATGATATGTATAGCCCTAATGTCGATGTGTTTGGAAGGGACAAGCATTCCGATTACCGCGATGATATGGGCGGTGTGGGGACGTTTTTGAGGCAGAATCGCACGATTTACATTGGTCGCATCCACGTCACTGATGACATCGAGGAGGTTGTCGCGCGGCATTTCGCCGAATGGGGACCCATTGAACGCACGCGCGTGCTTAATACCCGCGGCGTGGCATTCGTAACCTACACCACAGAAGCAAACGCGCAATTTGCCAAAGAAGCCATGGCGCACCAGAGTCTCGACCACGAAGAAGTCCTAAACGTGCGCTGGGCGACCGCAGATCCGAATCCGATGGCGCAAGCGCGCGAAGCGCGGTCGATCGAGGAGCAAGCCGCTGAAGCGGTGCGACGGGCGCTGCCGGCGGAGTTTGTGGCGCAGATTGAGGGACGGGATGGGGAGGCGAAGAAGAGGAGGAGGGTGGAGGGGGGCTTTGGGCTGGAGGGGTATGAGGCGCCTGATGAGGTTTTCTTTGCGAGGGGGGCGAATGCGGTGAATCCGGTTGGGAGGGACGGGGTGGGGTTGGAGGAGGAGCAGAGGATGATGGTTGAGAGTGGCGTGGGGATGGAGGGGTATGGGGGGGAGGTGGCGGCGATTGAGGGGCCGGTGAGGGAGGAGAAGAATGGGATTTTTTCAAAGGCGACGCTGGCGGCGTTGCAGGGTGCGAGGGGGGCAGTGATGACGCAGTCGAAGGCGGCGGCAGCGCCTAAGGGGCCGTTGGTGGCTTATGGGAGTGATAGTGATAGTGATTAGGTTCACGGCTTTGTATAGGTACCATGGCAGACAGCATGAGAGGAGTTTTTGGCGCTGAAGAATTATGGGTAGCTTGGGATTGAGGCATTTGTATGTATAATAGCGTTGGCGGAGACCGAGAATTCAAAGTGTGGTTTTGGAGCACGATGACTGTCTTTCTATGTGTTGTAAATGGATCGTATGTGCCCGGATGCTGAGTAGTTTGTTACGTTTAGTCCCCAGATAAATTGGTGTTATAGCATTAATGTAAAAGATAAGAGTTGTATCCATCCGATTGCCCGCCTGTCCATGAGGTATGCTCGCTTCCTTTCATAAGACGTGCAGCCTCCTCTTGCTTTGTGAGAAACCGCCTCTACTATGCTAAGCGCTAATGGTATCTATGTCTAACAAAGAGTTAATATGCACCCTGCTCTATCTAAATAGATTATTAACTAGAGTACTATCCCCCCTTATAGTACTTACCACTAGCATCTACATCTACATATGGAGCTCGCAACAAAATAAAATCTGCCCTATCCCATCAAAGAAAGCCCCTTGTTACCCCTTTCACCTACCCCTTCTTGAACCACCCAACAGCAAAACATAAATTAGAAGCCAACGTGATGTTCAGACAGCATATTGTATTCAGCTCTATGCTTTAAGAGTATTTAATATGAATCATAACCTTCTCTAGTACCTATTGTCGTACCCACAAAGCCACGACAGCCTTCATCCACATTACTCTCTCCCCCCACTTTACATTTTAATCCTCCCATAACAACTCCCCTAAACCAGAACGCTCAACCCCACAGCCACCGCAGCAGCCAGCACACCGGCACCGGCACCCGCAAACGACGCCACAGCACCACCAGTGCTCTGCGACGCCATCGCCGCCGCACCAGTCTTATTCGCGCTATCAGTACAGGTCTTCGCCGCCTCAGCACCGACAATGACCTCCTTGACACCCTCGGTCTTGCAGTCTGTGGGGTCGACCGCCTTGGAGGAGAATGTGATGTCTGCACACTGTGTGGGGTTAGCTTACTGCTATTTCGCTGGTGTGCCGTGGGAATGGGGAACTGGAGAGCTGGAGTGGGGACTTACGTTGTAAAGCGCTGCGCCCATATCACTAAACGTTACAACCTGCACGGTTGCATTGTCGCCCTCCTTCGCTAGGCCCGCTGGGACAGATAGCTTTGGGATACAGAGCGTGCCGTTCCCGGTGGTGTTGTGCAGCTCGGGCGTCAGGGCAGTCGTGAAGGCTGGCTCAACTGTTCCAATACCGAGGTTGACCTATAGGTCCAATATGTCAGTTGTGCTTCTACAGACAAGATAAGAGAAGACTGGGGGGGGGAGGCGGGAGGCGGGAGGCACGAACAGCGTAGTAAGTCCACGCATGATGCAGGTGGATGTTAAGGGCCCCGCCATCGAGGGGCCAGAGAGTACGGTTCGACTTCTCCTGGGTGACGTTGGCGCAGGGGTAGATCCATTGGCTTGTGCCGTCGGCGAAGGAGTCGCCGCGCCATTTGGGGAAGACGATACTGTAGTGGGCGGTTGCGAGGGAGGCGAGGGCGGGGAGGAGGATGAGGGACTTCATTTTGAGAGATAGGGTGGGGGTAGTGCGTGGGATTGAGAGAGAGAGGTGAAGGTATGAGGTGAGGTATGAGAAGGTCTGGGTGCGGCGAACGGACGGACAGAGATGTGAGATGTGAGATGTGAGATGAAGAAGAGAAACAGAAAGACGAGATCAACGAGAGTGTTTATACTCCCTCTTGCGATCTATTAACTCATGGCGGCTGTCGTCCACGAGGCCAGTGCATCCAGAACCCTTGCGGCCATGGTCTCCAGGGCCAATGGACAGCGATTGAAGCCAATAAGAAGCATTGGCATGTCAATGAGAAGGTTAAAGATATTCAGGAACCAATCTCGTCATCGCACAGCTTCATCAAGCCATGAGTCCATCCAATGGCGAGCTCTGCGCCAAAAACCTTCTCACCTTTAAATTCCAACTGCATGTCTGAGAAGCTAACGCCGAGCAGTTGATTTCCTCAGTCTCGTCGGCGATGCCAAGGGAACAACAATGTGCTCAAATGAGGACAGCCAATGACAACCACCTCAACTCCGCTCGGGCGGAAAAGTAGGCATCTTGGCATCTTGGCATCTTGGCATCTCGGCATCCCGGCATCCCGGCAGAAGTTGGATGAAGTTTGCATGGTGGTGTATCTGGGCCACCGTATAACTTGCTTCCGTCGTACCTCGTACCTCTTCTCCCTTCTCCGTTACACAAATCCCGCCGCTTCCTTCGGTTTGAGAATTGGATCCCCCCGCCGGCCAAGGACAAGGAGGATGGCTCGACAAGTCATCCGTCAAGAGGTAATCTACCAACGACAGGTAATTCAACTAAAAGCAACACGGACTTCCTCGGGAGAGCTATTGATTTGAGAAGAACTCTGAGATCAAGAGGATAATGCAGAACAAGGCTGCCAAGTACATGGATCGCGCCGAGAAGCTAAAAGCTTACCTTCATACTCAGGCTACTGGAATTCCAGAAAGGAGGTTCCAGCAGTTAGCATACCTTCTGTCAAGTCCATCGGCACGAATAGCCTTGAATAAGGTCAAAAAGGAGCTTCGTATTCGTGGTGTTGAGGCCCGCAAAGCCGAGCATTTAAGAAAGCGGCAGGTTACCCAGTTGTTAAAAGCAAAGCAGGAGGTGCCTCCTGATTTACTTAATCCAATTCCTGATCCTGAAAAAATTGCACAGGAGTCAGAGATTCAAGAAGAAGCCAATATTCAATTGATTTCAACAATAGGGTGGTCAGGATCACAGGTAGACGACGACGATGAGACTGGATTTATAAGATTTAGTGGACATATTTACAGACAGGACAGAAGAGAATTTGGATTCAGGGTTGTTTTAAAGTAAGAATAACGTACATGTATAGCGAAAGCGCCAAACAAGCGAAAGCGCCAAAATGATGCGGTGACCAAACCCCCCAACTAAATGTTAAATTCCTCAACAACAAAACATGCCCCATAAAAACGATGAAAGCCAATTAGTGCTAGCTATCCAGGCTATGCAAAGCGACCCAAAGTTACGCCTTCGAGTTGCTGCTAGGATCTATTCTGTGGACCACCGCAAGCTAGGTCGTCGTCTAGAAGGTGTACCTTCACGACGCGATATCCAAGCCAACTCACGGAAATTAACTAACCTAGAGGAGTCCGTCCTTGTTCAGTATATACTCGACCTAGCTGCCAAAGGGTTTCCTCCTCGGCTGTCTGTTGTTGAAGATATGGCAAGTCGACTACTTGCAACACGCGACGCGTCACGCGTTGGGTCGCGTTGGGCTTCAAACTTTGTTAAGCGGCGTGTAGAGCTCCAGACACGCTTTCAGCGCAAATACGACTACCAGAGGGCTAAGTGCGAAGATCCAGAAGTTATTAATGGCTGGTTTGAGCTTGTGCGTAACACAATTGCGAAATATGGTATCGATGAAGCAGATATCTACAACTTTGATGAGACTGGGTTTATGATGGGCGTTATCTCAACTGCTATGGTTGTAACAAGCTCAGACGGGCGGGCAAAAGCAAAGAAGGTACAGCCTGGTAATCGGGAATGGGTTACAGTAATCCAAGGCGTTAGTTCTCAAGGTTGGGCAGTACCACCATTTATCATTGTTGCAGGCAAAAACCACCTTACATCTTGGTATGAGAATAGTGGATTTTCAAGCGATTGGGTGATTTCTGTTACTGAAAATGGCTGGACTACAAACGAGAGAGGCATGGATTGGATTCAGCACTTTGAGAAGCATACAAAGGCCCGGAGTGTTGGTGGTTATTGCTTGTTAGTCCTTGATGGTCATGAGAGCCACCACTCAGATGAGTTTGAGGAGTACTGCAAGGAACACAACATTATTACGCTGTCATACTGACATTCGTTGCACTCAGTTTGCTATCAAACTCAAGAGCAAACTTAGAAATCTCCTCCTCAAACCTACAAGTCACCATACATATCTGGGCTTATCACACCAACAACAGAAGCAATACTACTCAATGATTGCTGCAAACTCTTCTACTACATCTGTTTATGCTACATACATCACGGCAAATCATTTGGACACTCATTGAACAAGTTATTAAGAAAATCTCCTCCTTAAGGGGGTGGGCCAATACTACCACATGGCATATCTCTACCAACTAGAGGCCTAGGAACATGAACGATAGCTCTAGAAGCTTCTACAACCCTCTATGATTCATTACACGTCATCGCTCCTTAGTTACCCACAAGATTGGTTAAGTTATGACATAATTTGTCTATAGGTACTCTGACCTTGGACCTCCTTTTCACTTCCTATAGGCTAGGAACCCAAGAGATGGTTCTATGGGATTCTCTTACGTTCACTACATGATTAGCAAGCTAGTTGTGGGTCGCACTTGATTTCTAATACATTTACCAAGCCTGGTTAGTCATGGAAAGTCATGGAAAATGAGAGAACTACACTCCTTTGGCATAAATAGGATTGCCCTTTCCTTAAGAAAGGGCAAGCAGGCAATACAGTAAATCGACTAGCACATACTTCTACGTCTTTTCCAAGCTTCCAAGCATTGATCTTGTTATTCTCTGTTTTTGAAAAGTCAGTGAGGTGCTAACCTCTGACTTACCCCTGAGTTCCCAGACTCAACATTTGTTGCAACTTGTCTAACCCACTTCACCACATCATACACCTGATTGCTGCGTTGTGGAATAGTCTAAGCTACAACCCTTTGGCTCTGTTTCCTAAGACAGTGTGTTGTCTTAGTAAATTCATCCCTTCCTTGGGTGGCTAGATTCTCATATCTGGTGCACCCACCATTACACCTTGCCTGCTTCAAGCTTCAACTATTTCTATAGCAGCACTTCGATACTACAATGGAGGACGACCAAGCTCCTACAACTACTGCTGAACAGCAGATGCAACAACTGTTTGCCTTTATACAAACTATAGCAAACAAACTTGAGAATTTGGAAAACACCTTTCAAGCCAACACTTCAGCAACACAATCTTCAACTCAGACACATCATACAGAGCTTCCCACAGCTCCTCTGGCTATTTCGAGTACCCCAGGTGCACTTCCTAAAGTGCAAACACCAGATTTATACCATGGAGACAGGAGGAAGTTGAAGGGATTTCTTATGCAACTGGACATCTACTTCACCCTCAGGCCTCATCAGTTCACCTCAGACATTCAGAAGATCTATTTCGCTGCCAGCTACCTCCGTGGATCTGCATTCAACTTCTTTGAGCCATATCTTAGAAGACTTAGTGGCAACAACCAAAATACCACTACACCTTTGATTACCTCTTATGACCAGTTTCAAGAGGAACTTACCAGGACCTTTGGAGACATCAACGAAACTGCTACAGCAGAAAGAGAGCTACAGAAGCTATGTCAAAAGACCTCTGCTGCTCAGTATACAACAGAATTTAGGAGAATCACTTCTCACTTGACTTGGAATGAAGAAGCCTTAGTCTTCACTTACTACCAAGGGCTCAAGAGCTCTATTAAGGATGAACTCAGCAAAGAAGAACGCCCTACAACACTTCAAACGCTTATAGAGAAAGCTGTCAGACTTGATGATAGGCTTTTTGAAAGAAGAAAGGAGAAGAACCAAGACTGGCATCCAACAAGAAATTTCAACAATTACACCTCTACACCAACTGCTAAGGACTCAGCACCTGAACCTATGGACTTAGACGCCTCTATAAAGAGATCTACAGCAAATCCAGCACCTCAGCCTACAGGATACCCTCAAAAACTGAAAAGGGGTAAACTTACCCCTCAAGAAAGAAAACACAGAATGGACAACAACCTTTGTTTATACTGTGGCAAAGGGGGACACAGAATTCAGGAGTGCTATTCAGCACGGGGGAGTGCTGATTCAAAACATATAGCAGCCTCAGACACAGTCACAACTGCTATTCCTGAAAAACTTGAAAAATCCCTAGCAGGCACAACTTCAACTGAGACTATAACTTCTCCCCTAGACAACAAATATGTGTCGATGGTGCTTTCTCAGAGTCTCACACACCTGTTAATCCCTATTCAACTCCATTTCAAACAACAGGTGTTGTCTACAAGGGCTATGATAGACTCAGGGGCAACAGGCAACTTTATATCTCAAGACCTCATCTTGACACACCAGTTACCTACAATTCCCAAACGCACTCCAGAGTTGCTCCGAGTCATTGATGGAACTCCTATCAGTTCAGGTTCCATTACCTGCAACACCCCAGTACTCAAACTTGAGATTCCCCTAGGAAAATCAACATTTTCAGACACCATCTCTTTAGATGTTATACCAATGAAGTACCCAGTTATCCTAGGTCTTCCATGGCTTCAAAGGCATGATCCAACTATCAATTGGAAGCATTTATCACTTGGGTTTAGCTCAAATCCTGAGCTCAATACTGAAAAAACCCTTCAAGCCTCAGTTACCCCTATTCAGGTCCAAGACTCAAACTTGTCCCAGATCAAGGATTTTGACCAAACTATGGACGATATATCATCTCTGATATGGGTGAAACCTTTCCAACCTGTCCTGGAGATAGCAGCTACTTCAGATTTGGAGAAATCATCTCAGGAGGTCATTTTGCCTTTAGCATACCAAGACTACCAACATCTTTTTGACAAGGCAAAGGCATCAATTCTGCCAAAGCACCAGCCTTATGACCATGAGATACCACTCGCAGAAGGCTCAATGCCTCCGTACGGCCCTATCTACTCTCTATCTGAATTAGAGCTGAAAACTCTCAGAGAATACCTAGATGAGAACCTTAGTTCTGGCTTTATCAGACCTTCTTCCTCACCAGCAGGAGCTCCCATTCTCTTTGTCAAGAAGAAAGATGGCTCCTTGCGTCTCTGTGTTGATTATAGGGGCCTTAATGCAGTCACTGTTAAAAACAGATATGCTTTACCCCTTATCCCTGAGCTCATAGATAGGCTCTCTTCAGCAAGGATCTTTACCAAGTTAGATCTCAGGGGAGCTTATAACCTGATACGCATCAAGGAAGGTGATGAGTGGAAGACAGCATTCAGAACACGCTATGGTCATTTTGAATACCAGGTAATGCCTTTTGGGCTTGCCAATGCACCTGCTTCTTTCCAAGCTCTCATGAATGATATTCTAAGACCTTACTTGGATATCTTTGTTGTTGTCTACTTAGACGACATTCTTATATACTCTTTAGATACTCAAGAGCATGTTCTACATGTTAGACAAGTCTTAGAGAAGCTATCTCAAGCACAACTCTTTTGCAAACTTGAGAAATGTCTTTTCCATATGTCTCAAGTTGATTTCTTAGGACATAGAATTTCAACAGAAGGCATTCAGATGGACCCTGAAAAGACAAAAGCAGTACAAACGTGGCCTATTCCTTCCAGCATTAAAGAGGTTCAGTCTTTCCTTGGGTTTGCCAACTATTACAGGAGGTTTATACCAAGATATACATCCTTGGCTTTACCCCTTACTCAATTACTTCACAAGGACACTTTGTATCACTGGGATAAGACACAGCAAGATGCTTTCGATGCTCTTAAAGGAGAATTTAAAGAAGGGAAAATGTTACTACACTTTAACCCCTTGAAACCTGCCACTCTTGAGACAGATGCCTCAGATTTTGCCATTTCTGGAATCTTATACCAAGCTCCAAAAGACAAACAAGAAGAGCTACAGCCTGTGGCATTTTACTCAAGAAAGCTATCAGCAGCTGAACAAAACTATCCCATTACAGACAAGGAACTGCTTGCCATAGTATGTTCTCTAAAGCATTGGAGATGCTACCTTGAAGGGGCAAACTATCCTATCACTATTTACAGTGACCATTCAAATCTCTTGACCTTTACAACCACTAAACAGCTCAATCGACGACAAGCAAGGTGGTCTGAACAACTAGGAGGTTTTGACTTTGTTATAAAACATGTCTCAGGGGCCAAGAATCAAAGAGCAGATCTCCTCTCAAGAAGACATGACTACCAAGATTCTGCTAAAACTAGCAATACAAAGGCTCTGCTAG